TATCGATCGATATCACTGTCGTTACATCGATCGATATATACTTGTCGTCGATCGATTACTCTATAGGAGTATCGATCGATATAGCTTCAGATCGAGTATGAAATAATGCCCACAAAGATCATAGACCGGCTATCGCTCATCCCTAGAGGATCTTAGCTTGTACAGGAAGATATTAGGGTGAAGATTAATAAATTAAGCTATTCCAGTTCATGGTTCTAGTTCATGACTCTAGAAAAAATCATTAAGAACATCCTAACAATGAATATCACAACTTAACAATCTATAGTTGGGGCTAATCCCACAACCTATTTGAACCCTAAATCCAACAGGTGGATCTATTCAGACATGAATATTGTCACCTAAATCATATATGAATAGATAAGAAAACTGAAATAGAATAGATATAAAAACCAATGGAGTTCCAGGAGGACTCTGATAGGAGTTCGTCCCTTCTCTCCTAACTAAGAGAAACAATAGAAAAGAACTTAGAAAAGCTTAGCCGTCAACAATGGCTTAGAAATAACATAAATAGGGTTTCAAGTCGTCAAGGGTGTTTTGGTAACTTGTGGACTTCAGTCGGTTATGAAATATAGTCAGCCCACGTTCTGGCATTCATATCGATCGATATGAAGTGTCTCCCATCGATCGACATGCAAATATCTTCTCGACAACCTTCTCTCGCGAGCCAGACTGACCACTCTTCGGTAAAATGGGCATAACTTCTGATCTAACTGTTAGATTTACCTATCACCGGTGGAATTAGAAAGAAAACTCAATGCTCTATCTTGTGTCCAAATATGGGCTCAATCGCACCATGGGAAGGTCTCCATCCATATCTAAACAACTGATACGTCTGCGCAGTTCTGCACTTTAAGGCTCCAAAAGACACCAAAATCACCATATTTCTCCAGAACGTACATGAACCTGTAAATACTCTAAATAGACTCTATATTGTAGTAAATACATATGAAAACACCTGTAAACCATGGCTAAAAATGGGTAACATCCATGGTCGATCATACAGCAGGATTTGGATACAATCCGCAAAGAGAAGCATGAAAATTTCAAATCGATCGATATATATGCTATGAAATCGATCGATGCTAAACTTATGGACATCGAGAAACTGCATGAAAATCTGCGAAGATGAGCATGATCACTACACATCACCATTCATGCGGTACTTACACACCTTGGACGACCGGATGACTGCTTCAAGAGGTCACCACCATTCAGATGCAACTTATTTCCACCTACCATCCTCATCATCGATCGACAAGCGCAGAGCCAAATCGATCGACGCGAAGAAGTTACCAGCGCATAAAGAGCAGAAGTTAACAAGATCAGTGATAGGATCTACAAAGCTCTGAACACCACCGAGGATATGATTGACAAGGGATGTGATGACATATTCTTCCCCTTCAACAACAGAATCAGTGGACTACACTCAGGAACAAAATGGCTGTAGAAGGAAGTCAGGACAATTCAGACAAGACTCGCATGTCAACCTGAAACTGCAGCATCGATCGACAAGGATAAGGTCAATTCGATCTATGATGTTCCCACATGAATCGATCAACACCGAAGCAGTCGCAGCGATCGATGACGAGTACGTACCAGGACAAAAGAAGATGTTACAGGAAAAATTAGTTAGCTCTGCATCAACTGACAAGACATTGGGAGGACTTACATGTCTATGATAAGGTTCAATGGAAAAGCATCAACATTGATAGTCTTCAGGAGAAATTTCAAAACATCTCCAACACAGTTATAAATATGGATGAAAGATGGGCCAGAAGTGATGAAGCCACAAGAAGTTTCATGGCTACTTGGATCAGCATCAACATAGAAGTTGTGGATACGTGTTTTCCAACAAGTAGCTCCTTTTACACACAACAGCTCACCCAACGTCAACAGTCAAGCTAAATGACTATAGCAAAGTGATGAGTAGGAGGCAACCCACTATTAGGTAATTTTTTTTTTGTTTTCTTTTACTTTATTGATTCTTTTTTGTTTTTAATTTTTCCAGGTTTTCTCAAAAACAAAAAAAAAACAAAAAAAAAAATCCAAGGAGAAACAGATGACAATCTAATAGACCAATGACAGACAGGTTTGCTAAAAACACATGCTTTTTTTTTCTAGGAGTCCTATAAAAATTGGTTTTCCACACTATTTTTATGAGCTCGAGAAAAAGGATAATGATCGTATTTGATTTATACTTGTTATCTAACCGCTTTTTTGCACCATTCTAGATCTTATGATTACAGATAGTACTAATGATCCTAAAGTGGTTCAACCAATCAACTAATCGCACTTGCTTAGATTGTTTGAAGGAACCAAAGCTGACCTCTAACACTAAACCTGACACAACTGCTTGTCTTGGGGCTTGGTATACATGGTATCGGATTCTTCAAACAATTCTGGACGGTAAAGCCTTGTGTATATTTATCACCTTTTCTCTCTCTGTTTTTGACCCAAGATAGTTAAATAGATTTATAGTTAAAAAAAGAAAAAAAAATCGAAAATAATACTAATTTTATTAGGATTTTAGTTAGGAGGAACCAGAACATAACTTGGCGGCTACAACCATTAAGGCTTGATTCATAATGATTCCAAGAAAAAAATTCGAATGGGACTTGGTGGCTACAATCATTAAGGTTCACTTCTTATGAATTCTTGGATATTGGTCAAAATGAAAGTGATCAGGACTTGGTGGCAACCACCATTAAGGCTTGTTTCATGAAAGGATGTCCAATCTTGGTCAATAATCATGCTTTAGTAGTAGATTTTGACTCAAGAGAGAAATTAGAAGAGAGAAAAGATAGGAACTAACTTTTACTTGCAGATCCAGAAACTTTTTTGAGATCCTTGCATCCTGTGATCGATACTCCCAAGGTAAAGCCTGCACTTTTATTTTATGTGAAGAAATGAGGTTAGTTGAGGGGAATGTCAGATAGTATTTTCTAAGTTGTTGGCTAGATGAATTTGGTTGCTAAGCTAGGATATGGCACAAAGAACTTCTGTGATTAGTATTTCTTAGATTTGGATTGCAATATTACAGAGGTTACTATTTCAAAGTTTTAAAATTTGTGTGTCCCAATTCTTTTCAAACCTCTTTTAGAGAGACTGCCTGTTTGTTTTGCTTGAGGACAAGCAAAAGGGTAAGTCTGAGGGAGTTTGATATACCATGATTTTGACCCGTTTTTAGTCATGGTATATTGGTGTTTGTACTACTATTTATTATATTATAGAAGCTTTTAAGCATATTTATAGGTTCAGGAGTATTGTGGAAGAAAATGATGTTTTTGGAGCATTTTAGAGAGAATTGGAGAAATCACTCGATTTGGAATCGACCAACACAATCGAGGTGGACATGGAGTGACTCACGTCGATCGACATGCACCTAGCATGATTGATCGATGCCAAAGACGCGGAGACCAATTCGCGAGACAAGCTAACTTGAAGCCCAAACATCATAAAATGACGATTATCCCCGATGAGTTTTAACCTAAGTTTATATACTCTGCCAAAGTGTTAGAGGCAGGGATAGCTTTTTTTGTATTATTTTCACAGCAAAAGGTTATAAAATTTTAGTTTGGGAGAGAAGATCAACAGAGAGATTTGTGATTGGAACTCCATTGTTTTCTATCTATCTATACTATGCAGTTTTATTACTTTGCTTGTGTTAAGAATTGCTTAGCAATGTCTGAGTAATTCACTGATTAGAATTAAGGTTTAAATAGGTTAGTGGGATTGGCCCCAACTATAGGATCACTTGTTGGGGTATTCATTAGTAGGATGTTCTTAATGCTTATGTTCTAGACTTGAAAACTAGAAACCTGAATCTAGGATAGTTAGGCTGTTTACATATCTTTGTATAACTCTTATAGTCTTGAACACATCCTGATTAAGCTAGGATTTTACTTGAAATAGAGCGAAATTTTGATCTACGGATCCACAGTGAGTTTTTGTTAACTCGCGTGTAAAGCTTGACTAGCCCCATCGATCGATATTCCTATAAGAAATCGATTGACGTTGAGTAAAGTGAATTGGTCAATATTCTTCTAGAATAATCAATCGGCACTGTCATTGATCTAACATTCTTGTTTTGGTCGACAACATTCTAGTCAATAGGCTTATTTATTAAATGAGAGTTTAGTAAATATGTTGTTAAGACAGTTAATTCTCTTTAATACCGACCCATGCAATTCTAACACCTATAGCACCTATAGGACAGTCCATGCAAAAAACTAGATAGCACCTATAGGATTATAATCTCCAACACCTGAATAAAAACCCTAAGTCTAACACCTTTCCATTTTAGTTTCAAAACCATAATTCAATTCTTGTTGAGTAATTGTCTTACTTAATTAGAATATTTCTTATTTGTTGTTTACTTGCTGTGATTTACTATTTATATTCAACTAGTTTTATTGATTGATTAGTTTTAATGGGTTTCATAGCTCCTTGTAGATTCGATCCGGTCGCCTTATGGTGGCTGGTTCTCGTGCAGACCGGTCGTCATATGGTGACCGGTTCGTGTATTGACCGGGTCGAGTGACCATCCAGTCGCCATATGGGGACCAATTTCAGTGCGGACCGGTCGCTATAAGGTTACTGGGTCGGGTGGTCAACCGGTCGGTTTTGATGTCTCGGTTGTTCCTTTGATTTGTTTTCGGTTTTTCTATCCGATTTATCGGTTCCTCAGTTTGGAAGTAATTGTTTGAGGATTGAATGATCCTTGTGAGGCATACTTCCTCTCCTTTTTAAATCGTACGAGATCTTTTAAACTGTTATTTATTTTGATATGTGTTTTTCGTAACTTCGTATCTCTGTAGGAAGTCTATAGTGTATACTTTTTCTGGGGGTTTTAATCATTGATTCCGTCGGAGGATTTTGACCCAACAATTAATTACTCATCTGTTTATATCTTCAAAGGGCAAGACCCTTAATCAAAACCCTAACTTAGGAATAAGAATCTTTCTTGATCAACGTTCTCGTCAATACAACTGAGAAACAATGACGTTATAATGACTACAAAAGATTTCTTCTCTACAAGGGAATGTCAAGCCGCCCATTGGGTGATTAAATCCGAACTCTTCCTCAGCGTAGCGAAGAAAGTCTCTGAAGAAAGGATGGTTGAAGTATGTTATTGGAATCACTAACCTCTTCTTTCCATATGTTCTCCTACATAGACGGTGACAAGGCCCTTTGGGACAAGCTCTAAATTTGGTGATGATGGACATTGGTTGCTTTTCTTGAAAAATTACAACTTAGGAAGTTGCTTCCCCAATCATCGATCTCATCAAACCCATCTTGTGTCTTGTCTTTTACGTAATTTTATCAAATCAAAGAGAAGTTTGAAGAAAATGGCTTACGATAAAAGGAGAGTACAAGGTTTCTATACATAGTACTGTTATGAGTTCATTTAAGATCAAAAGGTGATATACAGTCAAATATTTAAATACAAAACAGATACGTTAAATGCAAAAAAGGAACAATAATATAGTGATTAGCCCAACCTGAGTAGGCTGTTTGGGTTATTCCGGCATTGCATATGTGATTTGTAGTATGAACAAAATTTGGGTTCATCTCCGATGGTCCAGTTACAAATTCACTTCACCTCTAATAACCAAACATTTTGTCACATAGATTAATGAATAAAAAAATATTAAATATTTTTTGAAAAATCAAAATAGGTACAAGAAAAAAATAAAAATAACATCAATTTTTATAACGCTAACGCCGCTAGCTAAATCCTAAATCCAAACCATAACCCTAAACCCAAATTCAATACTCTAAAACCAAAACCTAGATCTTAAATCTGAACCCTGTACTCTTAATCTAAACCATATACCCTAAATCTAAATCCTAGACTTTTAAATCAAACTCTAAATTCTAAACCCAAACCCTAGGCCCTAAATTCTAAACCCTGAACTTTAGACCTTAAACCCTAAAACCAAATTAGACCGTGAATTCAAACCCTAAAGTCTAAATCATGCTCTAGACCATAAATCATGAATCCAAACCGTAAATTTTAAATTCAAATCTTAAATCCTAATCTTAAACTCTAAAGTAAAAATATCAACATTAATCCAAACATCTAGGATATAAGATTTAGGTTTAGGTTTTACAGTTTGGCTTTGAGTTTATGGTATAGGTTTCGGGTTTGTGGTATAGGATATAAATTCACGATCTAAAGTTTGGATCTAGGGTGTAGGGTTTTAGGGTATAGAATTTTGGTTTAAAGTCTAGGATTTGTGTTTTGGATATAGAGTTTGGATTTAGGATATATGATTCGGGTTTAGGGTCTACATTTGGATTTTAGGGTATAGGATTTAGGGTTTAATGTTTAAAAATTAGGGTTTATATAGGGTTTAGGATTACAGTTTCGAATTATGATTTAGTTAACGATGTTAGAGTCGTTAAAATTGACGTTAGGTTTTTTTAACTATTATAATATTTTTAAAAATATTTAATAATTTTTATTTATTAATCTATGTGGCAAAATGAGTGGTTATTAGAGATGAGATAAATTTAAAAGTTCACCCTATGAAGTGAACATAAATTTTTCTTTAGAATAAATATATAATTATCCTTTTTTAAGAGGTTCAGGGCAACGTCCATAATCTCTATAGGCAGATATAATAGTGCGTTTGAATCGCCTCTTCTCCTTCGCTGAGACTTGAGACTGACAATAACAAACATTAAGCCGATACTGATTTGACATGAACCTTAAACTAAACCAAATTAATGTTATAATAAGCACGGAAATGAAGTTTTGCAAAAGCAGATACCCGCATGCAGTTAGATTAACCCTACATTCTAGAACTTCTAAAATTAACTTTGCGATATTTTCATAAACTTCATACGTGGTGGTTGGCTAGATCTATGTGTTATAGTCCTGTTAGATAACTTATAAAGATAAAATAAAGAACAAATAGATTTTTTTTATCGAGGTTCTATTTCTCTACATCCTCGGAACCTAGTCCAAAACAAATCCACTAGAACAAGGTGCAATTACAATTACTATGGTATCAAACACTACAATGTCTACTATTATTTTCGAGATGGTTGGACTATGAAGATAGATATCAAGCCCGCATGCATTGACTACCATCTAGCAGCATTGGAGCATCACTATCTATAAACAGTTGCGATCTTCATAGAACGAGACCACCATGATCATACAAATCTCTCTGGTGGGATGACGCCACACATAGCTTGTGGGCCTCTCTGGAAAATACCCTAGGCGTGCATACCTTCTACAAAAGGCGGCTCTTGGTATTTAAGTGATTGCCCAATCCTAAACCCTAGGATCTCCAAACAATATTTCCTTTTTCTTCTCATAAGAATAATGAAATTTTTCATCATCTTAAACATACTATTTAAGATGATTATTAGATCAGCAGACACCTTTTGGCTTGTCCAAGTCGTCCCTAAGCTGTTCTCCACTTCTGTACTCGAACTTCGTGTTAGCAATCGCACAGCTCAGTTTTGGTTGACGTACTTCTTGAACTACTTCCTGTAGTACGTATTGACACATTCTGATCTACTTTCTGTAGTACCTCCTAATATACATTTCATATTGCTTTCTCAAACCAGTCAGCATTACATCTTCAATCTCTCCCTTGATGACTGCGTTTTAGAATTCAAAGGCCTTCTCAAACTAGTTATCAAAACATCTTCAATCTCTCCCTTGATGACTAAGTTTTAGAATCCAAGCACCTTCTGAAATTAGCCAACACAACACCGTCAAGATGTCTCTCCCTTGATGACTAAGTTTTAGAACTCATGTGCCCACTCAATGATCAGTACCAAACATTAGTTTTCTTCTTAAAATGATTTACCATCTTCATTATCTCCCTTTTCAGCTTAGTTTAATACCAAGAACAAGTAGGAATTCGTATTCCCTGAAAACTCTCTCATGAGTTAGGTTTCCTTTGCTTTTGACTGCATCAATACATCAATATCGGTTGTGTTGATAGTTCTCTCCCTGCTTGAGTGCACAGCTAAGTTGAAAATCCAAAATACTTGAGAACTTTCTTATCATGTGAGTTATTAGGGTACACTCTTCTTTAGATCGTGTTTTGACTTGTGTTTTAGACTTTAGCACACCCATACGGCCACATCAAAGTACCATCAGACCTGTCTGCTACCAGCCAAACCATAATCCTCTCCCTTAGGTTTTTCTCCCACGGCTTGAGTGCACAAATATGCTCACAACACAGAAACAAATAACTGACGCCTCAGACAGTATCTCATACCAGAGTCTTGTTCATTCCCCATATCGTGTTTAACTTATGTTGTAAGCTCTAGCACATCCAGTGATACAGTCTCTGCTCCTCTCCTAGCTCTAAAATAAGTTTGTATTCTCAAGCCATTCCAAGATAGTGTCGATATTTAGATCCAAGCAAATCAGACTTGTTTTCAAAACCAAAAACAATCCCCCCCCCATGAGTTTAGATCCATGGCCTCTCTCTCAGTGTTGTCGTCATCTTCTTACTTGAGCACACAACAAGTTAAATGCCAAACCAAGCAAACAATACTCTGCTGCTTGAAACTTTGTTTTATCTTTTACTGCTCATATGATTCTTCTTCCAAAGCTATGTCTCGAAAACAACTACTAATCACTCTCTGATATTTACACAAGCGTAGATAAGAACTTGAAACTGTTTTCAAGAGTTGGTCTTCTGCATTATAATTGATGATCCTGTGTTTAAAGCCTGCAGTAGCAAAGTTTCATAGCCATTGCTTCAATTATTTATCTCATCACTCGAATCAATTTTCTCAGCGTGGAAATTCTCTATCTCTTCATCCACCATTGTTGAAATCAGCTTTATCAATGTTTGTACACCGAACCTTATCAAGAACAACACAGATTTTTCTTTCTTAATTTCAGAAAAACCTGCAACTCAGATTAACATCAAGCAGTCTCAGTTCCAATTAAACCAAACATTCATCCTAAATTGGTTATCTCATAGCCAGAAAGTTCCCTTATGTGTAGACTCCAGTTTCATATACACCACTTCAACGTACCCAGAAGGTGCATCAGAACATAAGCGCTTGCATATTGTTCCTTGCACCCCCATAAATTATGACAAGACATCGTATGCGAACAATATAAAAGTGAAGTATATCACACTTGAACCTGCACATACTGCTCTTGCTTCTTTGTCTCAGGCTGGTCCAGATGATGGTACAAGATCTGTTTCAGTAGGTTCCTCAGGTACAAATTACCTCTTCTCAAGGCTTTTGACCATCAGTTTCTTTGACCAACTTTATTTAGAACCTTTAGCTTGATTCGTATTGTTAAGAAGCGAGTCTTCCAAAATTACCTATCTCAAAAACAGTAGAACAATCTCTGATGTTCTTCTGGTGCAGCCAACCAATCATGAGTTTTAACACTTCTTGTTTTGACCCTTCTGCAATCTGACTCCATCGTGTTAAATTATATAATCAAATCTCTCCTTATTACATTTAAATTAGTTAGTTACTATACAAAGAGTTGTGACTCTTCATGTTGTGTCTTTTAGAATGAAAAGGTGTGTTTGTAAAATTAAGAGTTGTGTTTGTACAATTGAGAGTTGTGTCTTTACAACAAAGAGTTGTGTTGTTTCAACACACTTATTCATTCTCTATAAATATAGATTGAGTCTTGTCATAGAATTCAATTCAACAATTGAGTGTAATACAATAGAAGTGATACTCTGTTTTTTTTTTGTTTCATAAAAGAAAGCAAGTTAATTATATTCATATTTTTGTTTCTTCTCTTTTCATATAAATTGTAAACACTCAGAGAATCAACATGGCATCAGAGCCTTGAGGTTGAAAGGCAGAGAGAAATCAAAAAATTTTGAAAAAAAAAAATTGAAGAAGAAGAGGGCATCGCTAGTGAAATTTATTATAAATTTTTGATAATAAAAGATCCTGATATTGATAATCAGAAACACATAACGAGAGAGCGTGATATTATTTACAAGTTTCTTATAATCACAAATTCACAAAAAAGAGAATTGCCGTGATATTGATTACAAATTTGATTACAAATTTCTGATAATCATAAGACTCTGATATTGATAATCACAAATTCACCGTGATACTGATTACAAATTTATGATAATCAGAAAACTCTGATATTGATAATCAGGAAGATAAGAGATGTAATATAGAGATCGTGACATTGATAATGATATTGATAATCAAAAGAAAACTTCACGATGAAAAATCAAGTGATCCCTATTTT